TATATTCTCAATATATCGTGAATGGACTATCACGTACTTCGTATATGTTTTTGTACCCCATCTATGAGCCGAAGAATTAATCAAGAAGATAAGGTGCATGTTAAACAAGCATCTAAATATATTAGCATTCCATGAACACCATAGCGTCTCGCCCCAGCACCAATAAGGTATCAATGACGGCAGAATAAACGCAAAAATCAGCGCCAGGTACATGTACCACCTGCAACAAGTACGATATAAACAAAGATATTAGGCTGATAAACTCATACTATCTAATTAATACCTTTATCGCGTGATAAGATTCTGTGTTTTGCGTACCTCTTTTGAAACGCTACGATAGGATCTTGTTCAAGGTCAGTAATATCAACCTTACTGAGTTTCTTTATGTGTTCTGGATGCTTTTCAACTAGAAACCATCCTATATGCGCGAAAAAGAATCCTCTTTTTGGGTTATGCGGATCCGCGTCAGTGTCGCTGTATTTGTGATGCATTCTGTGCTTTCTGGCCCACCAATGAATCGATAACTTGCGTGATAGTGTAAAATTATTAACTTATCGTAATCGACATCGTGTATATAATAATAAAGAAATTTAACAATAAAATAAATTATACGTGATATTGTGTTATGTCAATAGCAAAAGCAGATGAAGAAAATATAAAGGAGATCCAGAGAGGAAACTAACTTGGTAACAAGCAGTTTGTAAAATCATTAATATAAGTTTCATTGGCCATTTCGCCTTGTAAGATCGATGTGACCACAATCGATGAGCACCAGCAGAAACACCAATAATACTTATGTAACCGAAAACAAAAACTGAAAATTATATATAATAGCTTCTTAATAAGAATACGTAACCTATCATTATGTATAACTGATCATCCTGTGTCGCTTACATGGCATAAAATCCTTTTTAAGTACAACATAATTTATCTCTTTAAGAAAGTAGCATTATATGATTTAAATTAGTATCGTATAGGCAAATTAAAACAAATTAATGAAATATATATACCCCATAGAGTGGTCCAATATTTAGCTTGGAAGCACATTAGATACAATCCATAAAGACCAAACAAATGGTAAATGCAGATAACGATAATATTATTCCAATTCTTTTTCCACTTATGAGTACTTGTGGGTTGGTTTTGCAATTCCTTCGTCAGATCATTATTAATCAGGACTTCCGAATTTTCTGGTATTGTACATATGTTTAGCATCATACTGCAAAATTTCAATTTGATAACATTGAAGCAGTTATTATTATGACGAACCGTTTCAGTGCTTAATTTTCTCCTAACAAGAAGTATATTGACAATAACCTTTTGACAAAGAATTCTTCATGAACAGATAAAAAATTAGATAGATGTAATTAAAAAACCAATAATCGATTTGACTTTTCTAAGATTCAATAAGTCATACACAACATATATACAAGATGTCACATTTTGTATGACGCCCGCAAATATCTCTTGAATAAAGCATTTTGGAAAAAAATGTTTTATACAAAATTGGTATGATTTGATAGGGGAAGTTAGGTGGTGTCATTGATTTATACTTTAATATTTTTTGAATGGCACATGAAGGTTATTTTCAATTTCTTAAATGAAAACTTCTACTTTTTATTGTATATTCTTGTAGCTTACCTCGAATAAAATATTTTTACATTCAGTATTTTTCCAGTGATAAGGAGCAATATTA